TCCAACAACAGCAGAAATAATAACAATTCGACGAAACTCAATGAAATGCTTACAGAAGAAGAAGAAGTAACATGAAAAAGAACGGAAAACAGAAAACAGAAAACAGAAAACAACATCCAAAAAAAATATATGTATTCTTCCACTGAAAACGGCGAGTTTTTGTTTCTTTTCTCTCGCTGATACATTTCACTCGAGCGTTTGGTTTAGCGTTGAAATGCATGCAGAGAGAAATGCTGTCATCAACAGAAAATGAGAATGACGGCTGAAAAGAAGACAGAAGAAAGGCTAGAAATGCAGTGCAGCGTGTTTGATTATGTAGGGCATTGCCATAGCGCACAACTGTTTGCTGACAAACCAACTGATTATTCATAAAAAAACAACAACAATTTCATCTCTCTCCAATGAACACAATGTCAAGCGACAGAAACCGCATAGAATACACTTGATTCAACGAAATGGTCTTATATTTGTCCAAACGAAGAAAAAGATACATTTAAAAGATCTGTTTTTTTTTTGTGTGGAAAAAAATTAAAATCATGTTTTGGAACGAACACACGCACAAAATTAACAAGCGAAGAACAGAAAAAGCAATTCTCGTAAATTAATCGCTTGATATAATTCAAATAACTTTCATTTATGGGAATAACATCGTGTTTTTTTTTCTGCTGTCCGTGTGTTTGTGATTTTCCGGTCGTTTTCGATTCTCATCCACACTGAAATTCAATCAAAACAATTCGGCTGATTGAGCGTTTTGGGATCAATGCCGAAATTCTATTTCCATTAACCTGCGCATAAATCTTTGGCTTAACAAAATTAACATTATACACAACTTTCTTTCATTCATTCATTTTTTTCTTCTGTCCACATGGGTTATCCTCCTTCTTCTTCTTCTTAACTTGATGGTTTCAGTTTCATATCAACGTTTATCACTATCTCAGTAGGGGACATCACCATTTAAAAGAAGAAGAAGAAGAATAAAAACAAGCAAACTATTCAAAAGAATTTCTTTTTTTTTACTTCATTATTTTTAATGGAGTTCTCTCTTCTCACACTTTTTTTCCCTCAAAATGAAAGTAAATATTTTGGCTGTTTTAGTTTAACGACCGTCATTCTTTATTTGGAATGTCATCTCCATTTCATTTTGCGTTCATCGAAAAACGGCTAAGCTCAGGGCCGAATGAAGAGGAAGAAAAACATCGTTTCAATTATAGTATTTAATTTCAGCGGCGTTTTTATTCTGCGCGCGCTTGGCCACACCGTATGAATTGAACGAGAATGAAAGAAAGTTAGCAAACAAACAAAAAAAAAAACGAACAGAAAACCAAATCATCAACAAGTGTACAATGAATGTTTGTAAACGAGACGATAAATATTAGCATACAAATTACGCGTTTTCAATTCTATTCTGTCTGTGCCATTGGTCAATTGGGCATAAAAAAGAAATCCAACGAAATAAAAAGAATATATCCATCTAGAAATGACCACGTCACGTAGAAATCTTTCACTTTACATTCTCAATGAATGCGCAAATTTGGTAAATTGAACGATTTTTCACGTTTTGCGCCGAAACCACACGACCGTTTTTGCTGCCTCTTTTTTAAATATCAATTCATGCAATTGAATCGATTGTTATCGGGCTTCAATTTGTACGTGCTGCAAATTAATTTGGATGTAAAGAGAGTTTGCAAGCAACCGCGAGCGAGCGCGTTCCCGTGATCGCGCGCGCAAGAGAGAGTTCACAGCCGATTGTTCTTATTCAAACAATGGTGTGTGATGGCAAAAAAAAATAATAAACAGTTGATTTCGCTTAATTCGATGCATATCAAAATTGCCATCCAATCATTTAGATTTCGATCATGATTTGACGTCGCGATACCGTTAAGAAAGCCATTTCGTTAATCGACCCATCAGAATATGCGCAAAAAATTTGGCTTTTATCATCAATTTATTAGACAGATTTGATACAGGGAAAAACACCGTAGCTATTCGTTTTTGTTACGTAATCATTTGTTGTAGAATGGCTTAGAATCGATCAATTTATCAACTCATCACCGTTACCGGCGGCAAAAAGGGGAGCAGAGGCTGCTGTAATTCCAAATCTAGTTCTGATTTGATTGCTCTTGATAAATTGCACAATAATTTACAATTGTTCATCTCTTGCGTTGTTGAATCCGTGTGCAATTGTTCATTCGCTCGTCTTTGATGTGCTTGTGTGTGTATGTGTGATTGCAAATCATCATTCGCATAACATGTTCCATAACCGTCAATTTTCATGCCACTTTTTTCGGCCAGCCAGCAAATCATCAGCCGGTGTATTCATCAATAAAATGGGGCTCTTCGAAGATGAAGAAATCCAAATGATTACGTTGATTACATTCAATTCGAAATGGAATGCGTCGAGCAATAAAATTAGATATAATCGCAGCGAATCCATTTGCTGTTGAAAGAAATATGCCGATTCAATCAAATCAAATCAAATGGTTTGCAATGTGTGTATGTGTGATTTTTTTTTCTGCCTGTAAAAACAGTAAAAACCTGCTTTTATAACGAATTCGATGCTATTTTCGAGTTTTGTACCATCAAGTGGCTTGGTTACCTGGGCCTGTTGGCCGCTGGATATGAAATTTCAGTGTCGTTGCTGCCACTGTCGCTGCTGTCGCTGGGAGAAAAAGAAAGACAGAACGCGGTGAGTAGAATTCGCATGTGTCTATACGCATTGGTGCTGGTGAGCAAAACAACACCAAGTCTTAATGCGATACGGTATCATTGATAAAAGTAGGACAATGTACAGTTAAGCGAGAAAAAAAACCTTTTTTTTCAACATCAACCGCATTGAGGCTGGCTCAGTAAAAAATACTCTCCACTTAAAGTGGTCGGTTTCGCGCGTGCGACACACACTCACTCATACATAATTTGTGTTATTCGTGTACCTGTTAACATGACCATGCGAGAATTTTTCGTATTTCTCTCGTTCTCTCTCCGGCTCTGTCGTTAATTACGAACAAGAAACAAACAACGCAACTCAATGATTAAGAATTGGCTGCCTCGGATCGATACAATTTTTGCATTGCTTCGTGCAGTTCGGCACAGAAACACATGTTTCTGTTCTGTTTTTCTTCTCTTCATTTCGGTATGTGTTCCATTTGAATTGGCCGTTTTCATTTCAACTTTCGTCAATTCATTTTTTTTTAATCATTAATATTTGTTCAACTCTCTCGAGCCGCAGTAGAATGCAAGCGCAATTATTTCATTTTCTCTTCACTCGCATTGAATGCATGTTTGTATCGTTTGTCTACTCCTATTCACCGCACTGACTCTTGCGGTGACTCGTGTCAATTTGTACGTCAACATCTCGGGCCTGCATGAAACACAAAATAAAAACGTCAGTTTAAAGTAAGAGTAAACGGTCGCATTGTGTCGACAAATGATGAATGTGGCTGGTCGGTCGATGGAGAGAATACAACAAACGAAAAAATTGAACGATCAAAATGGGCAGCGCTTGCATTCACATTTTCGCATTCAATTATGCTACGGTTTAGCTTACATCGTTGGTATTTTGATTGGCAAAGAATTAGCTCCGTAATTATCCAACGTAGCCACCGTCCGCTTCGTTTGTTTGTTTGTTTTTCCCAAGCTGAATAAGAAAAAAAAACACGGAAAGAATTTCATAAACTCAACAGAACAATTTAATTAATGAAAGCATTTCATTAATTGAATGCCATTAAAAATAGTTACACGGGATTTGATCTAATCACCGGCCCTTTGCTTGCTTTGCTCAATTCACAGGTAGTTGATCGATCAAAGCCAATTGAACAAAGAGAGAGAGACGCGACCTTCCACAATCAATTGTGTAAATGTTCTTGCTTCTGGTACGACGTTTTCTTCCAACGACCGATCAACCTCAATCACTTAACATGTTTATAATATCTTTGACTGGTTTATGTAATTTGCATTTCTATTGAAATTGAATTGCCACTCAACAATTTCAACAACGCACGGAAATCGTTCGCAATTTGAAAGTTTCCAAATCATTATTATTAGTTGGATTCTTTCTATTTGGATTTTAAACACATGTTTGTCTATTGAAATTCCTTAGAATTTGCATTCATGTCGAAATTATTCGATAGTTCCTCAAAGCAAATCATGTAGAAATCATTGGCCATCAGGAAACTGCTTGTCTTTGGAATAATAATCATTATTATTCTTGCTGTACCAAGTATTGGACACAGAAATGAAAACAAAATATAAAAAAATGATTGATGATCAGTTGAATTTGTCAAAATATCCACTTTCGAAAGTGCATTGTCATCTTTTTTGTTGTAAAAAAAAAACGACTTTTCTTTGTATCTTTTTGTCTTGTTTTCTATATGAAATAAATTTCTTCTATTTTTCTTATAAAAATAATTCTCCATGAAGTGTGACTTTTCTTGAATCCCAATCAAGTTATTGTGATACTCACCATTTTGTATCAACCTGATTTTGATCGCAGGTAAAATCTGAACGCTATCTAAAAAGTTTATGAATATTTTCAAATCTTCAAAATGAGAATCAAATGGAAGAACCGTATCGAACGATTGAATGACAAATTCTCTTTTAATGTTACAATCGTCATGATAACAATCGTAATTTATAGCTAGTAAAGGACAAGCAATAAAAATAGAGATAATTTTCGATCTAACAAGAAGTTCAATGGAACCATCAAGTCACTTCGACAAGACTTAACAAAAAAGAATGTGATAGTTTGTTCGACGAGTAATGTGTGTCCATTTCCAAAATACAAACAAGAAGAGCAACATTCCATGTTGTGTTTAAGAACCGTTCTTTTCTTTATTTATGAGGCAACAAATTTGAATTCATCCATATTCTTTGCCATAAACCGACGGTTATAGTATTTTAAACTCACCCAAAATCAATCAAAAACCAATTTCAAAACGTGAACTTGACACATTTGGTTGTGTTTTCAGTAGCTAATCAGGTAATCAAATCAAAAACCAGATGCGTTACTTCATGATAAATAATTTATTTTGTCGTAATTCCAACAACGAATAAAAATTAAAATTAGAATATTGGCAAGAATCGTGCCGCGTTCTATATTTTCGATTAAATAATTTGTGTTTTATCGGGCGGGCTGTTGCATATTTGAACGTTGCTGGCAAAGTTTGTGGTTGGATCGGTTTTGGTGTTGCGGCTGGTGTCCAAAACGAGGTCGGCTTGTGATGTGATTTCGTTCCACGCATAATCGATATCGCGCTCTTCGGGTTCCAGGCCACATACGACGAAGCGAATCATGAGCTTGCCGTGATATTTCGCTGGAATCATGTAAATTTTCTTTCCGTCAGTGATTCGATCGAGCAATTCTTGTGTCTTGTCACAATCTCCCTTCAGTCTGAAGCACACCAAACCTAATACGGGTTTCGCAACGATTTCAAAGCGTGAATCATTTATAACATGATTCTGGAACATGTTGGCGAGTTGCGTGTGTTTACGGATTCTCTCACGAATATGTTCGGCGCCTAGTGTTCGAAGCAAGATCCATACTTTAAGTGCACGGAAACGGCGACCTAATGGAATTTGCCAGTGACGGTAATCCGGTGCTTTGCTCTCCCCTTGAAATTGATGCTTCAAATAGATTCGATCAACGGTGAACGAGTCGACCACTTGATCGGCATTCTTGAACCACATCGCGCAACAATCGAAATTGACCAACATCCACTTGTGTAAATTGACATTGAATGAGTCGGCGAATTCGATTCCACTCATCATTGAACGGAATTCCGGGCAACACAATGCAGCTCCCGCATAAGCCGCATCAATGTGCAGCCAAATATTGTACTCGTGACAAATCGGTCCCAATTCATGCATATTATCAAAGGCACAAGTGCCGGTCGTACCATGAGTGGCGATACAACAAATCGGAATCTTGCCATTTCGTATATCCTCTTCAACAGCCGCACGGAATGTATCACCACGCAATTCCATATTTTTATCGGCCGGCAGTAAGCGAATCGGTACGGCAGATAGTAGAGCCGATTTTTCAATGGCACTGTTGCTTTGATCACTACTGTACATTATCAATTTACCGCGAATATCACTTTCGCTCATTTCGGGATGCTCAGCTTTCACACGCCGCACAGCTTGCTCCCGGGCCGTCAACACAGCAACTAAGACTGCTTCACTTGCTGAACCTAAAATTTGAAGAAAAAAATGTTCGGTTTTAGATGGCATTTTATTTTGCATTCGAAACGGATTAAAGAAAATTATTACTGGAATTTCTCGACTTTACCTTGAATTACACCACCTCCTGGTCCTTCTGAGCAATTGAGAAATGCTTCAGGTAAAGCAAAAAATTTTCCCAACCAATCCATAACGATCACCTCAAGCTCGGTACATGCCGGACTGCAAATCTTGAAGTGAAAGAAAGAAAGTGTTAACGGTTTGGTTCTTGGAAAATTGAATTGTTGCTTCTTCTTTTTCTTGAAAATTTCCGTTCAGCTTTAAAATATGCTTACCCAACTGAAACCAACAACTCCAAATCCTCCGGCAATGATTTCGCCAACAATGCTCGGATATGAGGTTGCCGTTGGATAGTAGGCGTGAAAGTTAGGTGATTGCCAATGTGTCATACCAGGCATAATTTTATCACCAATATCTTTCATCACATCTTGCCACGACTCAGGCAACTCAGGCGCCTCGGATGGTAGTAATTTATGCAAGTATCCCGGTTCTACTGATGGCAAAACTGGTCTGTTTCGAGAAAAAAAAACAATCAAACAAATTAATTAACTGTCATGAAAACAGAGAAATGAGCACCGGTAAAAATTGTATATTTGAAATGGGTAAAACTACGTATATAATAAATTGAGCAAGCCAAAATAACCGTTTTGTATCGTTTGATATTTGGTTTGGTTTTATGCAAATCAATTAGAATAAATTTTGCGATTCAATGCAAATTTATTCACTCATATCACGCAAAACTCAAACTCGTTTGAATTCATGGAACAACAAATGAAACCTTTCAAACAGCCAACCAAACGAGATAGATGGTCAGCTACGGCTGACGCTCGTTATCCAGATAATTTGCGTGCGGTGAACGCATATAGAACGCTTCGCTGCCGCCGAGCGATCAATTGTACTTTGAAAGGTGGAAACCAAACGTTCAATCAATGAAAAAGAGACAAATCCATATATAACGTTTGGATACCACCTTCCAAAATACAATTGATCGCTCGGAATAATTCCGCATTATTTTTGCGGATTGTGTTCCAGAATACCGGCACAGACATTCCGCTTTTGTGACGTACGATCCATCCAAATTCATGATAGAATCCATAATTTTTCTGACTTTGTGACGTGTTATCTAAACAAATTCATGGATTCTATCATTAATTTGGATGGATCGCTCGTCACAAAAACGGAATGTCAGCGGAACGTTCTATATGCGTTCACCGCACGCAAATTATCTGGATAACGAGCGTCAGCCGTAGCTGACCATCTATCGCGTTTGGTTGGCTGCTTTCGAATATTACAAATCAATTTGGCTAAAATTATTAGATCGGGTCATAAATTTTTATTCATTGATTCTTATCGACCGATCGATCGATCTAATCTTCTTTGTGAATTCAATTATTGGAAATGTCTTGTTCTCTACCTTGAATTTTCCTATTATCATTTCATCAAATAGAAGAAAGTGTTCCTTCCGTTCAACGTATTTCACAACGTTTTGATTCAAACTGTGGCTTTTTGTTTACATTTTCACATCACCAAGTCAAAATACGAATAAATTTAAATATTTGATGAATAACATTTTTGATTTGATAAACGAAATGACAAAAAAGAGACCGCAAAATATAGGCCAAATGTACGAACCTGTCACGAATGTTCTCCAAATATTCGGCCACAAAATCAACGGCAGCATGTCCAAACTTGCGAAATTCCTGAGCATCCATAATGAAAACTTGGCTTTTGTCACCACTTTCTCTTCGGAATATTTATTTTCAGTTAATCAGATTTGAATATTTAAAAAAAAATGCGAACGCAGTCTTCTTCCAATTTTTTTTTTCCACACACAAAAGTAACGAGACAAAGCGAAAAAAGAATATGTTGAACGTCGACTTTTTGAATAAATTTTTTTGATAATCTGTTGGTTCTGCTGTGTATAGTACGTGCACACCGTTCGACGTTTATCGAAACAATAAACTGGCTTGAAACGAGTCTTCAGCTTAATATACCCAAAATATGCGGTGGACACTTTTTTGTTTATGTCTCTTCGAGATTTGTTTACCCAAGACTCTCGTCCGATAGACAGAGAAAATGATTGGAAATGCACACAAAATGACATCTCAACCGATGACGATTCTGTGTAAATGCACTTAGGATAAGACAAAGCCAAAGAAATGTGGACAATAACGGTACGAAATAAGTAAATAATCCATCATCTTATCCAAATACCAATGAGTAGCTTCTCTTACTTGTTGTCAGACGTTACCTAAATTACTTTTAGATTTTCGTTTTTCGAAGAAACCTGTCTGAAATACATGTCTTGATTACATTTGTTGTTCGGTCAGGAAAAAAAAAATCCAAAACAAACAAATGGGGATTTCTACGTCGAAATTATGTCAGTTTTTGTAACATTTTGATGACGCCAGACAAAACCGGGAATTTTTGATCGATAGGCCTTGGGCTGTAAACTATAAACAATTCACGTGATACGTGGAAAAAACATACACAACGTAACCCAAATTATTTTACGCAAATGATTTTTAATTGGCACAAAAACAACGCACACACACGACTAACTTATTCTATTGAGAGCAGTTGATTTGGCGGTAAATTATTCGAAACATGAACCGTTGAACAGAAATCCGCCAAACATTTACTTTTGCTTAATTCTACAGTCTTTCGGTGATTTTTCTTAAGAATCTCGTTAGTTTGCGCTCGAATTTCGTTCCAGGCATATTCGATGTCTTTTTCAGTCGGTTTTAGACCATTAACAACGAAACGTATCACCAGTTTCTCGTGGCATTGTGCTCGAATCACAAATATTTTCTTGCGTTCGGTTAAACTGTCCACCAGTCGTTTTGTGAGCTCACAATTGCCTTTGAGCCTGAAGCAAACCAAGCCCAGAACTGGTTTACCAATAATTTCGAATCGTGTATCGTTTGCAATCATCTCCGCAAATTGACCAGCCAAACGAACATGATTCCGAATATTTTCCCGAATCTTTTCAGCGCCCATGATTCGAAGCGTGAACCATACTTTGAGCGCACGAAAACGATGACCCAATGGAATCTCCCAGTTTCTATATTCCGGTGCCTTTGAACCAATTTCAAAATGATGCTGTAAATAAATTCGATCGACTGTGAATGCTTCGACCACTTTACTGGTGTCTCTGAACCACATGGCACTGCAGTCGAAATTCACCATCATCCATTTGTGTAGATTGAAGTTGAATGAGTCACCGTATTCGATTCCCGGCATCAATGATCGAAATTCAGGGCAGCATAATGCAGAACCAGCATAGGCCGCGTCAATGTGTAACCAAATGTTGTGCTCTCGACAAATTGGACCGATTTCAAGTAAATTATCGAATGCACACGTTCCGGTTGTGCCAAGCGTTGCAACACATGCAAAAGGGAATTTCCCATTTTTAACGTCGTCTTCAACGGCAATACGCAGTTTTTCACCACGTAACGTTAAATTGTTATCAACAGGCAACAGGCGAATCGATACGGCAGCTAATCGACTTGTCTTTTCCACACAACTATTACCTTGATCACTGCTGTACATCACCAATTTGCCACGGATTTCACTCTTGCTCAAGTTTGGGTGCTTTAATTTCAAGTGCTCAACGGCTTGATCACGAGCCGTCAAAATTGCCACTAACATCGATTCACTTGCAGTGCCTTGTAGCAAACCACCACCTGGGCCCTCGGATGAATTCAAAAAAAATTTCGGCAAATCCAAAAACTTGGCCAACCAATCAACAACAATCACTTCGAGCTCGGTTACAGCCGGACTACAAATCTGGAAGAAAAAGTCATTATTTAGTTTTGTTTCTGAATTGAAATTTTTAATGCGTAAATTTGACCAATTATTATCTCCTCCGTCAATTATTTGAGCAATCGTAAGAGAACAATGTTGATACTTTTATCGTGTTTCTAAATACTTATTAATCACACTCTTTGATCATTTTTAACACAACTCACCCAACTGAACGAAACCGTTCCAAGACCGTTAGCAATCATATCACCGACAATGCTTGGATATGAAGTTTGACTCGGATAATAAGCGTGAAAATTATTTGACTGCCAATGCGTTAAACCGGGCAAAATTTTATCGTTCACATCTCGCATTACATCTTTCCAGTCTTCTGATCGCTCTGGCACATTGGACGGCAGTAAATTGTGTAAATATCCCGGTTCAACTGAGGGTAGCACTTGTCTGGAATGCATCAAATACACACAATATTTTAAAATTTCACTTTATTCTTTTTAAATTTTGCTTTTGACTACTGTAGAAGAATAAGAACCTGTCGTGCACATTTTCCATGTAGTCTGCTATAAAGTCAACCGCCGCGTATCCAAATTCACGAAACTCCTTTGCGTCCATCGTGTTGTCTTCGATGTAATTAACTGGTGAACGATTTTAAACCAACTAAATATATTCGAATTGAGTTGACCGAATTTGACATCAATATTACCGAAAAGAAATGTTTACAATAAAAAATTGTGTTTTGTCAAAGACATTGATGACATTGCTGAACTGAAAGAAAAAAAAACTGCAGCAAAAACAAAAACAAATAAACAAAAATGTTTTGCCGCAAACCTAACAACTCAATTTACTCTATGGAACCAAATCGATATTAAATGGCGAATATTACATAGTGAAAGAGACATTGCACTTTTCACAAGTCGCGCCATTGGTTTCGGTTTTGATTGATTTACGCTGCTAGTTTTTATTAATTACTCAAATCAATCAAACGGCTTGTTATTTCGTAACATTCAATTTACTTTTTTCTTTTGTGCGTTTTCTTTTTTATTCATGTTTTCTGTTTTTGCTACGAACGAAACTATTCCGATAATTTAAAGATTTATTTCATTTTTCCTTCAAACAAATTAGAGGTTTGTTGATAAATTTAAAGCGAAATGAGAAAAAAGTTCCCTTTTGAAAGAGGAAAAATAAATTTTCTACAAATTCCTTTTGAACTTGTTGATAAAATTCAGTTATGAGTTATTACTTCATAAATGTGTATAGATACGGTGTATAGATAAGTATACCGGCCCATAAATTCAAAATATGCATATCGATGATAAATAAGTTCAATATGTGAACTTTAGCCTTCGGACGTTTCCATTATCGTTCAGAGTTGGAAGTTGGTTGTGTCTCTTCTATGCTATTCGTGTGTAATGTTGATAATATGGTAAACAAAAATGCATCTTTTGGTGCAATTCAATTTTTACTTCAATCACAATATGACTTTTTAACAGTTTTTTAGGAAATGCCCAAATACGTAGAAAAACATGTGTAAAAACATCGTTCAATAAAATCCATATGAAGAAATAAGTTAAAATTGTCTCATATTGTGAATAAATTTTCTTTGTGCCACTGTAACTTAAAACATCGCACCAAAACCGTCTCGCACCACGACCGCTAGATGGCGTTGTTGTTCATGTGCATCGTTACGTATTCGAAATACTTAAGTGTGTTTGACATTCGGTCGAATACGAATCGAAAAAGCAAAAGTCGAAAAAAATTGATTGTCGTGTCATTGTTAAGCTTGCATCAAAGTGTAAAGTCGCAAAGAATTTTTTCTTCAGTATTGTTTTTTTTATATCCATCCTGAAAAGAAAATCCGATAAAAAGCGGCTAACATGATGTTGTTTATGCTGTTGTTCAGCCGACAAGGCAAGCTCCGGTTACAAAAATGGTATGTTGCCTATCCGGACAAAGTGAAGAAGAAAATTACACGGGAATTGATCACAACAATTTTGGCAAGGTACAGTAGAAGAAAATTTAGCACCTGTTTCAGTGCAGTGATGACTAAATCAAAGTGCCACAACAACAGCAAAATTTGTTTGAATAAAATGCAATAAAAATGGTGTTTTTTTTTGCAGAAAGCCGAAAATGTGCTCGTTCTTGGAATGGAAAGATAGTAAAATCGTTTATAAAAGGTGAGTAAAACCCAGTAAAATATAGTGCGATTGAGATTGGTGATGACTTCATCGTAATTACGGCTGAGGTCAATGAATCTGGTAGTTCAATCGTTTCATTTTCGGGCAATTGCTCATTATTTCGATTCGGTTAAATTTACTTTTAGATACGCTAGTTTGTATTTCTGCTGTGCAATCGAACAAAATGATAATGAATTGCTAACACTGGAAATAATCCATCGTTACGTGGAACTATTGGATAAATACTTTGGCAGTGTAAGTATGACAACACAAATGCGGCATATCTTATCATTTAGAAAATAGAAAGCTGAAAAAGCAAATTCCATTTCGAAACATTGTTGATTTATTGTGTTTGATTTTGGGTGATTGTGCGTGTGCGTAGGTATGTGAGCTCGACATCATTTTCAACTTTGAAAAGGCGTATTTCATATTGGATGAATTGCTGATTGGCGGCGAAATGCAAGAGACATCGAAAAAGAATGTGCTGAAAGCGATTGCAGCTCAAGATGTGCTTCAAGAGGTCAGTACACCCGATGATACGTATGACTTATAAAAAAAAACCAAAAAAAAAACCGAATAATCTATGACAAAACAAACAAATCTCAATGTGAATTGACGATGCCTTTTGCCAACACCATGCCATCACTTTGTCATGGAGTGATCTGAATCGATGAAATAACCAAAAGGCATCGAAAATTTCCTCGAACGAGTTCGATTGCGATGAAAAAAAAAACATTCCTTCAATTTATTTTCTGCATCTTTTGTTTTTGTATTCATTTTTCCGAGGCTGACGTTAGTTTATTTATTTTGTGTCTCGTCCAACGTTGTCTTTGTGTGTCACTGTTTTTCGTTTCTATTTCGTTGTTGTGTCCAGTTCTTCCCGAAAGAAAGAAAAAAACGTGAAAAATCTCTCCACAACTCATGACTCTACCTATTGAAATGCCGTCCAGAGGCTATTACTTTTGATCTTTTGCACGAATATAGTTTTTTTTCTACACTGATTCAGACTGTAAATATTTCATTCAAACACAAAGAGTTTACATTCACACACCGTCTTTGTTTTTGACACACTAATGCACACCAAAACAGCATCTGTTTTTTTTAAATTTTGACAGTTCAACCACATACACATGACTAATAGATACAGAATTTAGCTTAAAATTTGGAAATGCAGTTGATTGTTGAGCATTTGCTGTTTGCTCTTTAATTTTCATGACCTCTTTTGAATCTCAGTACACAGTAGTTTTGCATGACACAATTTATATTTTTGTTAGCTAAACAAACAAAAGTAATATCTTCAGCATTTAATTAGCATGACAACCACACCTTATCGAACACCATAGTCATAAATAGAAATGAATTGAAAAAAATGCCGACAATAACTTGCCTAACCACATTGCAGTTCGTAATTTTTTTTAAACACACACTGACAAAAAGAATTTAAAAAAACGCCAACATTTCCAATTGGTAGCTATCAATAGAGTAGAATCCGTTTAGTAATAGTAATTCTCTTTAACCCGTCGCTCGCTCGTTTAGATGCAATTTTTTTTTTAAATCTCAATTTGACTCTCTCCTGCCTCCCTATCTATATCTAGTATTCTCTCTATCTCTCTGCCTATTTTTTGAATTTCGTTTCGAATCCTTCATCGCAGTACCAAACTGAAAACCAAATATGAAAACAAAAATAATTGAAACAACAATAAAAAAAAAACGATTGTCATCAAATATTTATTTATCAATGTTAAAAATCGCTTTAATAAAATCCAAAATCAGTTGAGGAAAAATAGGAAGACATGAAATTCTAAATGAATACGAATTTAAATGATATAAATATAGTTTTTAGATAATGAACGTACTTACAGAAAACAAAACAGTCAAATGACAAAACTGAAAGAGTATTTCACTTATGAAATTATTATTCGAAAAATCGGCCTTTTGCCGTTTAGTCATAATTTTGAAGGAATGTCATCAATGCCATTTACTTAAAACAATTGTGTTTTTTTCTAGAAAATTATCAAAATTTATACTCTTAGAAGAATTTCCTGCAGAAAAAAACAAACAAAAAAACATTTACAATGTTCAAAACATTTCGAGAAATCAAACATTCTTGTTAATAATCATTTTGAATTGCATTCCATTTTATAATGAGTTTTATTTTCTTTTCTATTAATTTGTTGGTACATTTTAATTGCACTCGAAAAATAAAGATAAATAGTAAATTAAGTTCACTTTTTGACTTGATATGTAAATAAGTTTTTTATCGAACATTCTCTTTTCGCAAATTAATTTATCGAAACAAAACAACAAAAACAACAAGAATAAAATGCAATTTCAAGAAATCAAATCATATTTTTGTCACCACTTGTTTCAGGATGATTTTTTTCTTTGTGTTTTTTTTACTCTTTTCTTTTACTTTTCTCTTCATCAACATATTTCTAATAGAAATTTTTCTATCTCTGTTGACACATTTTCTCATCATTTTCGTTTTTTTTTTTGGGAATTCGTTTGAAAAGGGAAGAAGAATTGGGGAAATAAAAATTATTCAGTAAAATTTCTCGAAATTTCTTATCGAATTGTTATGAAAAATGACAACCAATTTTGCTTTTAACTTTCATGTACTATGCCTGGCTCGCTGTTTAACATTGGTGTGGGTATTTTCTTGTATTCTCCTTACATTTTTACCGTTTAATCTATATGATCATTTCAACAAAAAATGCTAACCATTTGATGGGATGGATGATCATCTGGCAATTCATTTGATATTTCTGTGTGTTTGTGTGCTGCCAATTTTTCATTAGAACTTTGATTACATTTCACATGTGGACGGATCTTAATTTGCATTTAACTTGCCATTTGTGTTTAATTTGCTGCAGCCCGAAAAACAAGAGTCGCAAAATCTCAGAGTATATTCTGGCTTATTACAATAAAAATTTCATAGACATTTTTGTTCCGATTTTGCTTGAATACACTTTTTTCAATAATTTCGATATAAATGTTTGCTTTTTGGATATTTTCGCGTAATTATCATGATAAAAATGAACCATTTATTAATGTGTGCTTTTGCCATTTTCTGAAAAAAAAAAAATCATTCATGTGACGAAATGAAGTCTGCCTCAAGGGGATAATGGGAAGCAAGGTATTTGTTGCTTTTAAAAATCAGATGCGTAAATTTGACCTTTTCTGTCGCTGAAAACTATTTGTAAATAGTTCGACTGTGTTGATGTGCTACTTTTTATTTTGGTATTGCTTATTGATCTATCGACAAAAAAATACACGCGCAGTTTGTGTTACCGCGAATTGTAGCTAAAATCACCTCACTTGAAATGCATATCGTTAGCACTAACAAAACCAAAACAAAAACAAAACATTTCGCTTAAAATGCAACGCATTCAAATTGAATCACAATTTCAATTTTTCAAACTCTAGGACGAAGCGGTTGAAGGGGCCTTAAAAGACATTGGATTACTCTAGACTCATTACAAATTACTCAGAAACAAGCCAAAAAAAAAAGAAAAAAGGAAAATAGAAATTCAGCCAAAATTTGAATGTCACACACACAAAAATAAAACAACACACATTCACATACTCAGTACTAACACGTTATCAACACAATTTGGCTTATGCTAACCAGTATATTGGATCAATTTGTGACACTTCCAATTATTTGCTAGATTTATTTTTATTTATTCTTTGGTAAAAACAAAACGATTTTCATATTTAAACACAGACACCGTAGCTCTTAGCATTGTGGAATTGGATGGATTACGGAAATTTTTTGAAATTAACCACACTTTCTTTCTATTCGACTAATCGTAATTTCATAAAATTTACTTTAAAAGAAACTTTTTTAAATCGTAGTTATAGTGATCAATGTAGTTGTTGAAAAACAAATTGTTATACAAAAAAAAAAAAAAAACCAAAACGCACAAACACCAAACAAATAAACGTTTTTTTCTAAAGACATACAACATCAATCTGTTTGCCATGTTTTTATTATTGTGACACTTTTGAACGGTGACAACTAGGACGAAAGAGTACGGAAACATCGATCAAACTATGATAATAATTGTTTCGATCGTTGAATTTTTGATTTAAAAAAACAAATTAATTTGCGACATTTTTTGAAATTTTGAACTTTTTTCTTCAAATATTTTCTATATTGCATACGATGAGCATGAATGGGCTGCTAGCGAAAATCAATCGAATGTTTTACTGATTTGTAGCTACGTTTGTTAAATGCACTAACCTATCGAATGTATCGGAATGAAATATATATTGTCTATTTGATATCTTATTTTGTGTGTCTGCTTCGGAATGCAATTCTCTTGCGTATGTTTTTCTCTCTCTCTCTCTCTCACACCCTTTTCTCTCCCCGAATGGATTTAGTTTGAAATCAATTTGTATTCTGTTTTGGTCTTGACTTACTTATTGACTTTTTAACAAAGAAATTTAAAGAGACTTTTTGCTGCAATTTCTCTTTTTTGTGTTTTTTTTTCACATCTATTTTCAGGATGAAACACCACAGGGTTTCTTCGACGATCATGGGCTTGGATAACTTAAGTAGAACAAAAAAAAGCAAACAATTTCGGCTCAATCACTCAAAATAGGTTGTACTGAATGAAATATGCTCACTCATTGATATTGATTGCTCAACTCTGAATCCTGAATAAACGGCATGCATCACAAACATTAAATCAAAACAAAAAAAAAGCAAAATAAACAAATGTATTAATTTTTTCGAATTTCGATATCAGTATTAATATTGTTCGTTTCAATCTCTCGTTTCGGCTGAATCACAAACCTAAAACTCATACACAATTTGGATGCGATATTAACTAAATTTTTTATTTTTCGTTCAGATTTTAAATTTGATTAAGTTAAAAGACTCATTGAAGATATCGATTGTTGTTCGCACTTTGTCTTCAATTGTTTTAATAGGAAAATCAAAATACATTTTAATGACATGTTAAATTCCCACAAGTCACAATTAATAAATACTTAATTACTTTAGATTACAATTATAATGCGAGCACGTGTGAATGTGATATTGAGAAATTTATTTGCACAGTGTTGATTACCACTTGGAATTCATTCCCTTTTTTTTCTCGTGTGTGTAAAAAAAAACGTTATTGCTTTTTAGCTAAAAAAAAAAAACAGAATCAAAATAAACCACATTTCAATTAGCAACGACAAGCATTTATTTATGTTGATCACTTTTGTCCCCACCCTTCCACCTCTCGAATGGCACACGTTTTTCTGACGTTAGCACAATTTTAGAACTTTTTGATAGATGTTTGGACGAAAAGCGCTTAAATAAACCATTCTGAAAATGGAAAAGATTCTTACATCTCTTCTTCGAAGAGAAAAAATTTTTTCCACGTTAAAGAAGGTAAGTAGTAAGTAGTAAGAAGGTGCATTGAAACATTCAGTAAAGATATAACTAAATACGTCTAAAAATGTGCATTTTAATTTGTTCACGTGAAACAAGGTTTGTATTGAAAATAAATGTAGCTTTCTTTAACTTGATGCCATTCCTTGCGTTCAATTTATTCCGTCATTAAAACTATTTCATTTTACATTGTGACCTAGTCGAAAGTTTGTTGATACTGAACAAATGAGCTTTGGGCCTGTTTTTTGCCCCGTAAACACACTTTGATAACACTCGAATTGAACAGCATCAGTGGTAAAAGATCACAACACATATTTATAGATGATTCGTCAGTTTGGTTTTATATTTATCACTAAAGATCAAGACTTCAACGCAAAGTAAATAAATTGCAAAATCGTTTCGTAGAATACCATGTGAACATTGCGCGACAATAGTCTTACTTCTGACACTGAACTGAAATAAAAAAAAAATTTCTGTGTTCTCTCTACCCAGTGGTTTTAGAGAGATTATCAGTGACGATCCGAATGAAGATTATGATATTGGTTATCCAGATAATCCAATGGTGGATGGAAGCGATTTAACACAAATATCGAAGATGAAAAAGGAACAGCGAGGTAATGTCAAACTCGCTCCATTACTGATTGAATCAGTCAGATTCGATCTAAAAACGCTCTTTATATTCTATTTTGTCAAATTGAAACAATTGTTTAATCAATTTTTTCCTACATTTCGCAACGTTCTTATCAACTTTAGGGGCTGAAATGGAATGTGAATACTGATTCCAATTATTGTTGTAAATCAATTTCATAGCGGAGACTTTTTTCAATTAACCATGCACATTTCAGTTGACAACGAAGATCGAAATTTAAACGACAATTTTGAACCAAGTACAGCCTTGTGCATGGCTACTATGGTGACAAAAGTGGCGCTTGTAGGTTTGATTGGAGATTCATTTGTTGCTGAAGCCAAGCGCGCGTTAGTAGGTAAACTCGATTTTTGTACGAAAACATTGTGTCGTTGATTTACAGTTGATGCAATTCTAACATTTTCATATTTTGATAAGGTGGCGCTTTGGGAGCCGTCGGCGGTTTGGTAGCATATCGATATATTGGGTGTAAGAGAGCAAACGACGAGTAATAAATAATTGTTTGTTGACTTTAGTATAAAAAGTGTATAGAGGGACAAAAAACAACAAACAATCTAGCTAACTTCTATTGGAGTTGATATGGAAATGAATCAGCAATTTCAAAATATACGCCACCAATTATGTCGTGGAAGAAAATCTGTTTGAATTTCCGTTAAAATTAAAGTGTTTTAAAATTTTGCGCCGAAAAAATCGGAGGATGTGCATTGTGCAACCATCTATCGAAATGTGTTTTCCTTATTTCAGCTCAAACATAGAATTTTGGAGAGAGGAACAATGTTGGAGAGATTTATTGTGCATTTCAATTTTTGAATGAAAATATTTCAGTTGGTTTTTTTTTCCATTGACGTAAGCTTTCCATTGACGCATCTCTTGATTTGTATTTGTGTTTTGTTCAAAATTCGGAATAGATTTCAGCGATTCAAAAAATAGAAACGAAACATTTAGCAATTGTTTAGCGAAATCGCATGTGCTTGCAAACGACAAAACTGACAAAAACGTGACAATTGGATTTGAAAGTGCAGAAAATGTAAGGTCGAGGCGCCATGCAATTCTGAATGCGATATACGTCGTTGGTCGTTGGAGCAATTGTCGAAAGATGTGGACGGAAAAAGCGATGGTTGTTTGTACGCTTGTGCGTGCAATGCTTGAATGTGCGATGTTCATGCGCTGTTGATCTCACGCCCTGGCGGCTGCCCGTATGCCATTCGGCATTTGTGTGTGAAAGCGCACAAGTGAAATGGCAACATCAAAAGTCTGCTGAACTGGAAAAAGACACAAACCGTGTAGAATATCGCAAAACTGAAAATGATTCTTCTTCTTCTTCTTCTTTTTTTTCCTCGTCGCTTTTCGTTCATGTTTGCCGTTCCGTTTTGTTTCGTGTGATTTTCCAATGGTGACAGCGTGCGGCTATATCGTGTAGGCTCGCTTACACTCACACAGATCGGTGCCGGACTCTCTTGCCGTTCGAATTAGATTTTCGATATTTCGAATCGCGAGAAGAAGAAGAAGAACACCATGAAAAATGTAGCATCGAGCCAAAAGTCTACATGAGATGATTTAACGACGACAGTGGTGAAAGAACGAAGCAGCAGAACACTCGTGAGGTGCGCCGTGCACACGAGGAAAAAAATTTCCTTTCCACACACAACAACAACAGATGTGCAACTGTAAGTGAGTGAACAAGAAGATAGCGACGAAAAAAACGAGAATAAAAAAAAACTTTGGAAAAGAATTTTTTTTTTTTTTTTTGTAAAGCAAAAGCGAACTGTGTAAAAAGAATAAATAAAATAAGAGAGAGAGAGAGAGAGAGAAAGAAAGAAAGAAGAAACAAAAACCGAAGTGAGATTCATCGTTAGTCCAACAAATAAAATAGATGAAAACGAAATTGAAGAGAGAGAAAAAAGTATTCGCGAAAAATCAAACATAAATAGCAGCTGAAAAAGAATAAGAACGAAGACGGAGATTTCAAAAAAAAAGGAAGAAAAATTTACAAAATTAAGTGTGCAAAAGTAAAATTTAAGATATCAGTGGAAAAATAATTTTGATTTATTTAGTTTTTTTTGTTTGTTGGTTCATATGTTATCAAATTATCTAGTGTTATTAAAAAATTGATGGAAATTGCCATAATAATAGAAAAGTATGTGCGATAATAATCAACCGCAGCAAATTGATGAGAGATGAGAGAAAAAAGTTTATAAATAAATTAGCAATAGGTTATCGAAAACGAAAATTCAATCTCGTCGCAAAAGCAAAAAGAAGAAAAGAAGAAGAAGAAGAAGTAAAACGAGAGAAATAATTTCTATATATGTAGTTATATATATATATATATATACATGAAAGAAAAAAGAGATCCATGTGTGTGTGCATGTATACGCGCGCGTATGCCCGATATTCAGAGTCACAGCCATATATAAATTTATCCAACACCGAACGAACGAAACAAGTGAAGTGAATGGAAAAACGAGATAGAACAAGAAAAGCGATTTCATCCAAATTCATACGCACCAACACAATTGCAACACCGTTCCTGTCTTGATACGACGTGCACACCAAGGAAGATCAGCGCCAGTGTAGCAGCTACTCCAACCGAAAAAGAATATCGACGACGACTACGACGACACAACAACAACAACCACAACAACAACAACCACAACAGCGACGTCTACGAGAGAAAGATCGTGGAAATTTTCTAGTGTACGCGGCAGAGCAGAGCGCGCGCGAGAGAGAGATTGTGTGTTGAATTTACTCGTTTTCGTCGTTGTTGGTGTGCTGAATTGGTTGGCGTTGTGTATGTGTGTATGTGTTACAATATTATCCGTTGGATGTGAGTGAGAGGAGATTATGAGAGTGTGTCCGTGCCTGTTTTGCCTGAGTATATGGAAATAAATGCTATATCGATTTGAGCCAAAAAGGAAAATACCACCACGACACGAGAAAGAGAAAGAAGAGAGAGAGAGAGGAAAAAAGAGAAGAAGAAATCAAAGTAAAATATATATGAGAAAAAAAGAAGAAAAGTAGAGAAGGAATTTCTATATGCATATGGGTGTACAATGATTTTTGGACTGGAATCTTGAGAAATTTCGATTGAAATTCGATGAAAATAGAAAGTATTCGTTTTTTTCTTTCTTTCTATTGCGAAAAAAAGTAACATGTTTGTGTCTATGTGAACGGCGATTGAATTAAAAAAAATAATCGGTATCTAGTAGAATCAACCAATTCAAGACAATCTCAACTAGGTTTTTCTTCTTTTTCTGCATACTTGTGCATGTGGCGAAATATGGATAAAAGTGTTTCAATTGCCAAATAAACAAACAAAAAAACACAACTTCCACCGAACGAGCGAACTAAACGAGAGAAGAAAATAAACAAAAAAACGAACGGAAAACCACAGAATTTTTTCATTTTCTTCGCATTCGTTCGCAACACTGAAAAGTAAAACCAGACCATCAGCAGCAGCAGCAGTAGCAGCAGCAAGTAAGAACAACAACAAAACCGTCGTATGTGAAACATGGATGATGATGCCGTACCGAGTCATCCGCACTTGATTCGAGTCGCGTGAGCCTCGACGACCAACCGGCTGATACAACACAAGCACAACAACACACAAAATGGCGGATGGTGGACATTCATTTGGCAAGAAAACATTTCACAAACCAACCTATTGTCACCACTGTTCCGACTTACTATGGGGTCTTATCGGACAAGGATACATCTGTGAAGGTATACAATCAAACCACATCTAATCCAATTCATTTCCCCCCCCCCCCCCCCCCCCAAAAAACATTTGTTTAACACAAAATCAATGACGAATTTGCCATTCATGAAGCTTAATTTTTTCAACGAATTCACTCTATGAATGCAACATTAAGGATAATTCTCAGAGTTCTCTTGATTCACAACGTTGAAAATATCTAATGAAAACAATGTATCCCAAAGCTTTTCAAAGACAATTCATGAAATTCAGCTTAGAACCATGTTAAATACCACTCTAAATCGATACGTGATAAAAAAAGCATGGCCAAAGCCTATGTGTCTTTCACAAAATCTCATCCAAACTGAAAATAATTGAAATGAAAAAAAAAAAAAAGTCACTAAAAGCTAACGTTGCGTGCTCGTCGTTGATCCCTGACATTTCGATATACGAAAACAGAAAAATAAACCCAATGTAATGATTGAAAGCACACACAATTTCCTTTCGCCCAATGGAAAAACGAACAGAACGAAAAAAAAAATCAACTTCGAAATGGTGATTTAATCAGTTTTCGTAGCCGTTTTATTACGTTGCTCGTTGTGATAACATTTCCACTTGGCATTGATGCTGGTAGTGTTGCTATATGCTGTAAGTGTGTCTGTGTGTGCGTTTCTGTTTTCGGTTTCATTTATAATTTCGTAATTAACCATGCCCTTTCCCATAAGTGGCATTCATAAAACTGTCGAATGTCATGTAGTTTTCGGTTCGCTAGTCGAAAAACCTAAATAGCACGCGCGCAATCACCCATTCACCCGAAACACACACTCTCTCTCTCGCTCATTCTCTCTGTTTCCGTATTTACAAATATAGTCCAATTGAAGCGACAACGGGCCAACGACACTCTTGAAAAATGTTACGATACATGATTAAAGTGATCCAAAACTAAATATACATTTTTTTTTCGGTTTCCTTTCCAACTCGGACAAAGCAAACGAATCCACACACACACACACAAACTCATTAAATAATAATAATAAAAGGAGCGAACGGAAAACGAAAAAGAAAAAAAACCCATTTGCCCACACGCACACCACATTTGCACACACGTAAACAATGGGCCGTATGCAAATAAAGCAACTCTCAAGCGATAAATGTAGTGTAATTTATAATATTTTATAAACGTTTTTTCACGTCGATTGCCTGTACACATGCATACTGTGTGTGATGGGTGAGCTACGAGACATACGGCTACGGTAACCGAATGTTAAAAGTTCTCTCTGGCTCACCGAATCATGTATACGACGTATAATATTGAAAGCAACCGCAAGGGCGCGTGTGACATTGAAATCATTGTGCTTTTTTCCCTTTTGTTTCGACTTGATGATTTTTTTTTACAAACTTTTTCGTCGTCTCTCAACAGCGGGCCCGATTTTTTTTTCGTCGGTTTTTGGTCGAAAACAAAAAAAAACATGTCATTTGTGCAACGGTTAAGCAATTAAAGCAATGGCAACGCAAACACGAAGACATGATGACAGAAATGCTTCGTGTAGATTATGAGATGTCAAAAGCCACTTGAATGATTCGATATTCAGCGGAAAAATCAATATTCAAGTGTTTCAGTCAATATTGTATGCAAAAGTGATTTTGCTCAAGACAAATACCATACTTTCCACTCGAAAAATGAAATCTCTTTCTCACTCCACCGTCCTCTCTCTCTCTCTCTCTCCCCCTCTCTCTCTCTCAGTCACTCCAGCCATTTATGTTTGTGCGTAATTTGCCCGAAATGATTTTTTCCCTTTCATTTTGATTTTCCTGTGTGGCCAAAAAGCATCGAAGAAATATTGCTGGCAACGAAATTTGTCCGGAATTCCGATTAATTTCAGTCAAATTCAATTATTTTGATCCAATTAATATGACAAAAAGACTCGCTCTAATAAAGCGATACACTTGTTTCGATTATACAAAGTTTCGATGGGATAAAGTTCCAGAAATCATCATCTTTTTTTTTCATTTCACATATTTCCGAGGCATCTACTAGTCGGAAAAAACGACACACACACACAGAGAGAGGATGAGAAGAGGAAAAAAAGAAGAAGAAGAAGCAGTTGTAGAGAGAAGAGAGAGAAAAAAATGGGAAAAAAACTTTTTACAGACATTCGATTCTTTGACATGCGTATTGACAACACATGCGAACAACACGCATACCAACGCAATTTGCCATTGTCAATACACGTATATGTGCTGCGAGAAAACGGCCACCAATACACACATACACACACACACACACACACACACACGATGTATGGCGACAGGCCAAGCGAGAGCTTTCTGTAGTGGAAAATGTTTCACACGAAATTTTTGCTCGTAGCATTTATCTCGTTCAACGTTTCGCTCATTCGTTTCGTTCGCTTGTTCGCTACCTCTCAATGATATGACACACACAACGCGCTACACAATATTTTTTCCGTTCTTGCTCTCTTAGCTTTGCTCGTAAAATAGAAATATTCTGTTTTTTTTTTCTAGTCGCTCCAATACGCATGGGTACACATAAAGACAACGATATAAAGCGATAAAGAATAGAAAATTAGTGTTTGAGACTACGTGTATGCTTATTAATGCTCAACATTTAAGATGAATCAAAAGCAAAATGGGAGAAAAAAGAAAAAAATGAAAAGGCACCACCAATACCATTTCCATTTATGGCATTCATTTTGTCTATTTTTCGTCTGATATTTTGCTATTTTCTGCGCTTGTATTTCATCTAGCTGACGAAATGCCTGTCACTTCATGTTACATTCGAAGATTTATCTCAAATCAAAAGCGTCCAACATTTCAAATTCATCAATAATTTAGCGTGTGGATACGAAAAAAAACCGAATTTAGTCCCGTTCTTCTTTCTTTTTTTTTCAAACGAAAATGTTTTTCATCTTTTTTGCGAGTTCAATGAACACCAAACGAATGCTGTGTGTGTATTTTTCTTAATGGGTTTGAAAGATTTGGCGAAATATCGACAACAAGTTGAATGTGGGCTGCATTCAACGTCATAAACCACTAAAAAATGTTTTTGAGTCCTTCTCGGTCTCTGTGCCTCTGTCTGTGTGTCGTGTTCGCCCCACAGAATTTACATAAATCAGCATTGAATTGACAAAAGTGATTTCATAATTGAGCCAACGCTGCCAGAAAATTGATGACGTACACAGAATACGCTCATTTGTGCGCTCGCTCGTTCGCTTTCCAATGCTCCAACAACATCAATTGAGTATTTGCCTATGGAATATAAATAGATTTGTAGACCTAATTAAGTCACCACTACATAAATCCATCATCCAGAATTGAAAAGTGCTCTCACTCACTCGTCGTCGTCGTCGTTGACATTGTCGTTATTGTACGCGATGACCACAGCGACGTCGAATAACTGCCAAAGCTAATTGCAAAATCAACCGATGGATTTTCTTTCATCTAATCGCTTTCGATGTGTGTTTTTCCTCTTTTCTTTTTCGTCTCTAATTCCGCTGTCATGTGTTTTTTCTTCTTCTTCTTTTCGCTCATCATGTTTGGGATGGCCTCTAAGCGATATATATCGAATGAAATATTGCACAAGCGAAAATCGTCATCATAAACAAACGTCAACGATATTGGCCAATTCAGCAAACAGCTCAACATGAAATCGAACGTACGCATATCATTCGCGAGCGCTCTTCCTCTCTCTCCATCTCTCCCGTTCTCGTTTCGCTTTGCTCATTCGGTTCGTTCATAATCCCGATGACGCAAACAAAAATCTTGAACATAATTAAAATTTCAATGAGCATCGAACATATGCGTTATGGGCGCGTATTTGACGTGTATGTTTATTCAGTTTGGTGTGTTGTTTGCACACGAAAAATTATCACAATATAAAAATATGGCATTTCACCAAAATGCCAGAGATGACATAAAACATTTAGCTCGTGACACACTTTTTGTCAGGAAAGAGAGAATGAACAGGGAGAAAAACAATAGAAAAACTCATGTGACATGGTCTGACAACAAGAGAAAAAAATGTTGTTAATTATCGGCGATGACGTCTTTTTCTGAATTGCCAAAAGACAGAAGAGAAAAAAAAAATGGTGCATGAAAGAAAGCTTTGTCAAAAACCCTTGTATAACACAAATATTGACAAAAGGCAAAATGTGTTACCGAACAAAGCGGAAAAAAGGACCAAGATTTGTGAATGATGCACAAGTTTGAAAAGATTTAAAAAAAGGCGTACATGGAATGAAAAGCGCACATGTTTGGCTTACACGTGAAAAATAGCGAGCGCGCTCATTAAAAACATATAATTCACCTAAGTAAAAAATTCGGGATCAGGGCGCAACCTAGGGGATTCATGCCAAATTTTATTTAGCAAAATCTATTTGTATTATTTAAATCATGTAAAATTCACGCTAGATTTCAAATATTTTGTATTATTTCCCGATTGCGTTGTTATTGTTCATATTCACCTTGAACAATATGTTCTGGAAGTGGGTTTTGGTGGATCCTCAGGATCGTTCAAAACTGCTCCCGGTTCTGGAAGTGGGTTTTGGTGGATCTTCAGGATGGATCAGACTGGGTTTGACAATGCCCTGGTCCATCCTGAGGATCCACTTCCAGAACCAGGAGCGGTTTTGAACAATCCACAGGATCCACCAAAACCCATTTCCAGAATTTTTGAAGCGATAATGACGTCAACAGATTGGACATGGTTCTGCTGACAGTCGGTTTATTGAACAAAATTGAGCAAAATTGAAATTATGCATACATATCTGTTTAATATGTTGAAACATAAACAAATTCATATTATTTGTTCATATTTTAAATATGGAAATTGGCGTGAGTCCCCTAGGGCGCAACCATTGACAGAGAGCTACCGAGTGCAGTGTCATGAATGTCAAATGTGAAATAAAATAAATTTATGGGTTCACCTAATTCCAGTTACCAGCTATTGTATACAGAAACCATTGCATTTTGGGCTTAATTTGTTTATATACAATAAAAAAATGTGCGCACA